TTAGCATGAGTGAAGCAAAAAGTACTCGAGTAAGCCAAAGATGCATGTAAATTAGAAAAAAAGGTTAAAAAGATGGAGATTCATACCAGAAATCAGCCAAGAGCATGGTGAGGGACACATCCAAATCCTTGCTAGACCTATTAGAGAACAATAGAGAACAACATATACACCAACATTCCGAATAAAATATGATAACCAACATTAGGCAAATCGAAGCAACAACCCATTAGTACGAGAGTAATGGATTGAGGTTGCTTTCTGGTAACAGGAAAACAAGAAGGAAAGAGTAAGAGCATAAAGAAAACTGCGAGTTTTATTGATTACCTAAAGAGTAGCAAACAGACGAAACAACAGTGCCTCAAATACCTCAGTAGACACATCAGTGTGTGGAAGAGGATCACATTTAGCATCAATAAACTTCTCTTTTTGACGTCATCATTATTGAGGAAGAAAACAAAGTTCGAGCAAATCATGTAGAGACTAAAGAATCAACAAGAAGAACTAAATAGAGCAGCGACTAATCACAAACTAAGGATTCAAGATAAGACGACAAGATAAATACAACCAAGAGATCTTAAACCAAATAGGATTAGTTTCTAAATAAACTTATTCTTGTTTTAACTTATTAACACACAAACATAGGCAAAGAAAAAAATAGAATGAGAGAAGATCCACGCGAATTTGACTGTTTCATCTCTTCTGTAAGAATATTAGACAATGCAGCTACTGCAACTACTCTTTGTGAACTCTGACTTGCTCCGGTAGGCTTTGGAACAGAACTAGCTTTCGCAGCAGCCGATGAAGTAAATGCAGAGTTTAAAGCAGCTAATGCTGAGGCTTTTTGGGTTGGTCCATCTTGATTTGTTCTATCATTCTGAAATATAGAGAACAAGGTCTAAAATTCTTGAATAACTAATGAAGTCTTGTATTATGAAACTCGGTTGATGATACGAAAAGCTACTGTCAAACAACTAATATATGATATGGAAAACAATGCCTCATTCTTGCACCATTGTATGATTCATGTAACTTAGATGAGATTATAGTAATGGAAAAACAAGATCAATTACCTCGGAAGCATGACCAAATCCAAAGAGTATCATAACCTTCTTTCGAAATGAGTTTCCGTGTGCCTGATTAAACACGCAAGTCAGAGTGTTAAAAGTTGCTGAAATGACTAATGAGTTTCACTTATTATTTTTTTGATATCTCTCGTGAGGTTAACAAATGCAACTCAACATCTTATCTTCCAAGTTTCATACCAAATTTAAACGATATAATGAGAGAGAGAGAACTTTAGTCACTTACAGTAGCTTTTACAGGATCCCATGAGAAAAATGTTGTAAAGAAGCATGGTTCATTTCCTTCTGTGACTTTATACAAATGGAACATAAGAGGATAACCCTTCCAAAGATGTAGCCAGATCTACATATTTCTGTGATCAACTTCTTCGATTACTCGAGCAAAAATGAAAATGAACAAGTACTTTCAATATATGAGATACATATGACACTAAATAGTATTACCTGTCCAATTTCAAAAGCACTTTCCTTTTCTTTGGAGTCTGTTGATTGACCAACCCAAACGAAAACTTCAGCATGTGTGTCGAGAACCATGAAATCCTCAGTCAACAAATCATCTTGAGTGAAGTTATAGATTTCTTCAACCTGTTATTTTAATAGAAAATATTAACCTGTTTGATATACACAACAAGAAATTTTAATTTTAGTTTTAACTGAATTCTCTAGATATTACCTCAAATTTTCCTGGACATCCACGAGTTAACATGAAATCATTTGATAAAGACAATTAGAAGAGAAAAATTTCCTCATTCGGGATAAATATCGAAGGGTGAGAAGGATGCACCTCTATTAACAGAACAAGAAAACAAGTGAGGTTCCCTGGTGGCTTAAGGAGCTAATTTGTTGCTGGTATAATCTTGTTTTTCTCCAATACTAAGCCAAAAAGCTGAGCTTTCTGTTCCTTCCTTAGTGTGTTTCACGGTTGCTCTGGGCTGAGTTTGTGAATAAAACAGACCAAACAAAATTAGCCTAATGCAGCATAAACTAGGATAAACACAGGGTTTGTTAGTTGGGATAACAATGACAAAGAGCGCCTTTTTTCTACTTCGATAAAAGCCTCACCTTCAAGAATTCCACAATCTTTGCTGCTAAGTTCTGTTGCTCATGGGTACTTTGTTTTCCATGCCAAATGAATACTAAAGAGCTAGATTGCAGAAGAAAACACTCGTAAGTGTTCAGTGAAGATGCCACTAGTTAATTTAGAATTCGAGGTTGTAAAATTCTATTTTGGAAACTTTACAACAAAGTTCATAGTAGCTTTGGACATAATGAAAACAGCAACTTAGACTTTAGCGTGACAGTACAGAGAAATAGAAACTATACATAAGTACAAAGTTTAACATAAATTTTCAATTAGACTATCATTTAGACAACTTCAATATATATTGAAAAGAATCCTAAATTACATCCCAGACAAATGTTTACGTAATCCAGAAGAACAACTCTCTGAGACTCTTTCAACATAGAACAGAAGCTACATATCTATCTAGACATAGTCTGAGAACATGTTCAAGTGATGACTAGAAGGATCTCATAACGTAGCTTTTGCAGCATGACTAAATTGGAAAGATAGTGCAGAATAAAGAAAAAGATTATCAGGCACTGACAACTTAATATCCAAAGAGGGGAAAACTTAAAGGGTCGATAAGCATGCATACAACATCGACTTGAACTGCTTTGTTGTTATGACTAGAAGTTCCAGATATCCTGAAAAGGCCAACAGTATCAGAAGCATAGTTTTCATCATTCAAGCCATTTTCTTCAATATGATTTTTATAGCTAGAGCTTAATCCACCCTGAAAAAAGGAAAGAAACTAGTCTTGGTTATTCTATACGTTAAACGACAAAAATAGCCTCTATGTGACATATCGAGAGATACCTTAAGGACCAGCATGGGCTGGAATATTGCAACAAATTGTGGTGGTTCTTTGCC